TATCCCATTAGCCACTATAGTGGCTGCTGCTTCAGGACGGGTTGGCCACCATAGTCCAGCTTGGTCACTGTTTCTGCTCACCGTCAAATTTGTGAGGGGGGCGTACGCCCCACTCTTAACAGGGCAAGTGTCTCCCAGAACCCTACTAACAGGGCCCTGGAAAATGTTGCCACATGGCAATGCAAACTTGTGGGTCATGATTGATTGCCTAGGTTTACAGGGGTCACTGGAGGTCCAGGGGTTGCAGGACACCGTGTTGGTGTATGATAGTCATAGGCAGTGCCTTTGCTGCAGGATGAGGCTAGGGACTCTCTTCTGCTGGTAGCACCAGCATTCTGGGAGGATATGAAGGAGAGGACCAGGCTGCTTGTGCTTATTAAGATCCTTAGAGCTGGACAAATTTCAACACAGATAATTGCTTTATGGTCTCAAACTATAGCAGCTCTTTGGTTTGGATTCTTCTACTGTGAAACAGTTACGTAGCATCCCTGCATGCTGTCCACTCTAGAGGTGACTGAATCTGTGTGGTGGATGAAATGTGTATTCTGTGTGGTGAGTGTTTTATACAGTGAGGTACATTGCTCCAGAAGGAATGGAGCTCTGGAAATGTAATTGCTAAAGCAAGCACACTCTTACCCATCCACAGGCTGTAATAGGTAGTTTCAGGACTCTTTCATTTAGTCCTGATCTATACTAGGGAGTTATTTCTAAATAACCCCCCTTATTTCAAAATAATAAATGGAATGTCCACACTACCTATCCCGTTATTTCAAAATAACAGGCTTGTTATTTTGAAATCTATACTCCTGCTTTCCTCAGAGAAGAAGCTTATTTCAAAATAGTTATTTTGGGCGTTGTTATTTTAAATTTAGTTATGTCAAAATAATTTCCTAGTGTAGGCATGCTGTTAGCCTAATAGGCAGATTTATGACTCAATAGTCCCACCTGTAATATGCAAGTACACATTCATGTTAGTATGTGCTGTATTTATATGTTGTGGCATTATAAGGCCAGGTAGCTATTTAAAAAAGCTTTGTGTAGAGTGGAAATATGGAAGTGTAATGAGCCTGGAGTCATCAGTTAACTTTCATGGTTACACACAGTCTCCTGGTATGCACCCACTGGCTCCCAGGAAGCCTATTGCCCCCACATGTAACCATATACAGGCAGTCCCCAGGTTACGTACAAGATAGGGACTGAAGGTTTGTTCTTAAGTTGAATTTGTATGTAAGTCGGAACTGGTACATATTGTAGGGGAAACTCTAGCCAAACATTTCTCCAGAGCTCAGTTTTATTCTCCCACACCTCACTTCCCTCAGTCCTTTATTCTCAAGCTGAGGTGTCTGCTGAGAAAAGCCGCTCCGCGTCTCCTTGGTCTGCTGGGGGGGGGGGCGCTAGCTTCGCGTCTCCCTGGTCTGCTGGGGGGAAGCAGCTAGTGCGGGGTTGCCTCACTCCGTTTGTAAGTAGGGATCCGATGTAAGTCAGATCCATGTAACCCGGGGACTGCCTGTAATGGCTGAAATTTTCAGTGGTTACACATTTATGTAATTAAACACGTTAGCATCCCTAATGCTAAAAATTGTACTAATGTACAATCACAGAGTTCATCTCTCAAATATTGTGGCTATTTTGAAGTTAAATGCTAAAAAGAATCCAACTCTACAAAATATCCTTGAGGAAAAAATAAAGTGTGTTGTTGAGCAGTAGAAGCACACATACAAAATGTCCATACTCTTGTTTTCTGTTTGTCTAGGGATTCTGTAACTTGAAAATAGCCTCAAGAGCTTAAACCAAATGTCATTTAAAAGCTTTTTTCATGTCTGGATTTGGACATACTGTACCACGTTCGAGCTTGGAACAATTTTTTATAGTTGAGTAATAAACTTCTCCGAAACTGTGGTTTGTAATGGAAATGCTGATGACCGATTCTTGAGCCCAGCCACATGAATACGTAGCCATAATTAAGGAAGCTTTCTGCTATGTAATTATCCAAACAAAAGAGAGCTGCAAGCAGCCTGCATGGAATACGCATTCGAGAAAGGCACTACCCTACAATTTAAGACCGAAATAAATTTAGCTCTAAATGAGCAAAATTTGGCATCCCTTAGTTTGAATTGGTTTTTAATAATTCCTTCTCTATTTAAATGGTGAGCTGCAATGTTTTTTTTCTCTTTTCTTTTTCTAGTACTAATGAAAGTACTAGACAGATAGTTCTGGAGGCCTGGCACATCGGAATAGACCATATAGTCCAAATTAGTCTCATGATGCTTTAAACAAACATACAAAGCAACATGTATAACACACCTGGCCAATTTTACCATACTACCGATTCCTTCCAGACTCCTACAGCCATCAGCTTATGCCCTGAAGCCTCATATTTGATTACCTTTATGGTAGTTTACATGACTACAGATTTTATTATGAGCCATAAAATAACCCAGGTCCTTTTAAAATCCAGCCACTGTATTTGACATGCTGACAGTCTGCAGTGAGAATTCCACAGGTTGACTATGTGCCACGGAAAGGAACATTTTCCTTTTCTTTTAGATCTTATGATTAATTTGATCCCCATCCTCTGATTATGGTGCAGGATGATGATGGGGCTCTGAGTAGTTTTCAGTGATTTTAAACATCTCTGCCACATTCCCCTCTTCTTCTTTTTTCTTCTCAATTAGAGCATCTCTCCTTCATACCTGGTTCCACCATGGAGAGTGACTAGCAGCCTCCCACCCCATCCCAGTGTTTGCTTGTTTAGTAAGCGGTGCCTTTCTGTGTTCACAGGTGCATGTGGCATCATGGCTTCTCATTCAGGAGCTGCTGAGGCCAGTGAAAATGCGAGGAGCGCAACGCTGGAGCGGTGCCTCATTGTGCTCAGAGACGCAAAACATGACAGTGAACAATTTGCAGCCCTACTCTTGGTAAGTATCCATCGAGTGCAGCCACATCAGAAGCAAACCTAGTAACAGCCACTGTCGGTTAGACCTCCCTGCACGGAGAATTGTTAGTGCAGATCAGAGTCAGGAGTCCTGGGTTCTATTTTCAGTCCTGCCATTGACATGCTGTGAGACTTTGGGCAAGTTCCTTCACATCTCTGTGCCCTGACTTGCCTGTTTGTAAAATGGGCTTTAAACTGGTCTCCATGGGGGGGATGAGAGAGTTAATCTGATAACAGAACACTCTAAGATGCTCAGCTGGAAGATGCTGTGAGTGTTAACAGCTGTTTTTTTGTCCAGGTGCCCAGGATGCTATGCAGATGTGGGGGCAGCTGGGTGGTTGGGGGTCTACTTTGCTGTATAAATGAATGAGTTCCTCTAAAGAGCCTCTAGCAAGGCTGCTGCCCATATGCTTGTGCTGCTTACTAATCCATGGTTGTCTTGTAGGTGACCAAAGCAGTCAAAGCTGGAGACATCGACTCAAGAACCCGGCGTCGGATCTTCGACGCAGTTGGATTCACATTCCCAAACCGGCTTCTTGCTTCCAGGGAGCCCCCAGCTGGCTGTCCGGAGCACGTGTTCCAAGCGCTTGGCCTCACCCTGCTGGCATGTTTCTGCACTGATCCAGAATTAGCTGGCCATTCCCAGATTCTTAACAAAATCCCAACCTTCAACAACATTCTGGCTTCCCCATCTGATCCAGACGATGGGTCCAGGAGCTCCATGATCGATGACGTTTACCAGTGTCTGGGTGCTGTCCTGGCCACTCCCAGGGGCCCCAAAGAGTTGGTGTCCCAGGGAACCGTGTCAGCTCTGTGCCAGGCCTACCTGAATCGCAGTTATGGTTGTGACCGTGCCCTTGAGCTGCTCGTAGGGCTTCTGGCCATAGCAGAGACAAAGTGCTGGCAAAGAGCCACCCCTGACCTCATGGCTGTACTGAGCAGGCTCAGTGAGGAGTTCCACCGAGCTGAAGACATGACCAAGTTCCAGCTGTGTGATGTTCTGCCTCACTTTGTGTCTCCGTCGTTGCTGCTTACCCGGAACCAACAAAGTTCTGCGTCCCTCTGCAACCTTTACAGAGGCCTGGTTAGCATTCTGAGCAGCAAACTGAGCCAGTCCCAGCGTGACCCCGCACTGAAGCTTGCTGCCTGCCTCACGCAGGCCTGTGGCTCAGAATGGATCCCGGCAGAAAGGGCCGGGAGCAAGTTCCTGGCCCTGCTGGTGAACCTGGCTTGTGTGGAGGTCCGTCTGTCTCTGGAGGAGCTGGACCCGGCAGACGTGGACGAGAAGCAAGAGGTGGTAACAGCCTGTTACAGTCTGATTGAGCTGGGGATCCTGGAGTGCATGAGAGAAGAGAAACCACGGCTGAGGGAGGCACAGAAACTGCAACTAGTGAGGATCATGGAGGAGGCATTTGGGGCTGTGATACACTACCTGAGACAGGTAAAGTGATGACTGGGAATAGTCCCTTCCCTTCCCCCAATGTGATGCCTGCCTCTGAGTGGGGGCAATCATGGGGAAAGCTCTCTGTTGCTGAGCTGTGGGAGATCCCAAATGCACATAGGTCCGTGGAAGTCGGGGAGAGTTTCCTTTGGCTTCGATGTGTTTGTTTTTGTCCATGTGATTTAAGAAACTAGTCGGGGAGAGTTTCCTTTGGCTTCGATGTGTTAGTTTTTTAAATCACATGGACAAAAACAATCTCCCCAGACACACTCCCCACACCCACGTGCTCATTCTTGCTCCCTCTTCCCATCACCCAGATGCTTGGAGCAGTTCTCCCTGATTCCAGAACCTCTCTCGTGATCTTCTCAAAGTGTTTTCAGATCTGGCCGGTCATGAGACCAGAACTGTGATCACTGTGATTTGCTTCATGTTGGTGACACTGTCTTTCCTGGAAAGAGAGAGTCTATTTGGCAGTTGCTCTCTAGAGAACAACCAGAGATGGGAAGTAATGCTTGGTAGTGTCAGAAATCCCAGGCGGTTGTAAACCTGCCCCATGTCCATTCATGTAGCAATGCTGTCTCAGCTCTGGGCCAGGACTGAATACAGCAGGACTTGGACCAGTATTTTCATTCCCTGTATAGCCACAAGTGAGGTGGCTCAGTTCACTAGCGTTCAGGGGAGTGTCGGAAGTTAATGCTGAGAGGAAGTATGCCCCAATTCAAACGAGTTTCTCTCACTGGCACGAGAGCCCAGCTTTTCCTGTTGTGTTTTTCTGTCCTTTACTAACTGCTCAGCACCGAGTAGAAGGGCCATCAGGGGTTTCTGCCTTTTTCCCTCACTTCATAGGGGGACTGAATGGGAAAAAGCCTATGCTCTCGGAGTTCTCTGCTGCATCATCTCATGCCTGTTCTGTTCCATGGGCAGGTGGGAGAACAGAAGCTGAGGGATCCTTTCATATTTGCCTCTGTTCGAATCCTGAGTGCCTGGCTGGCTGAAGAGACCTCCTCCCTCAAGCAGGAAATCTGCGACCTCCTGCCTTTCCTCATTCATTACGCAAAGACGCTTTTCCAAGAGGAGGACAAAGCCAGGAGCCTATCCCAGCATGCAGCAGAACTGGGCAGTCCTCAGGGCTCCCTGTGGCCCAGAGATGCTCTGAGGTGAGTCTCTCGAACACAGGTTAGGCATAGGTATGCTGCTGCTGGAGTTACTTCTGCATCTTGGCACAGAAACGTACATCCCATTGGACAATGGGGCCAACCAGTCTGAATCCTGCTTCCAGCAGCAGCCCACAGCTGGTGCCTCAGAAGAAGGAAAAACTCCATAACATTGCTATGTATTGGTGCAGTTCTGCATAGAGTAGCTAGAAAAATCCCTTCTTGCGACCTAGGGCAACAGCCAGTGCCTTGGAGCACGAGAGCAGAATCTTGTCTTAGCAGAACTGCTGTCGATCATCATTCATGTTTTTAGGAGTCCTGCACAATATTTGACTTTGTCCCTTCCTGCAGCATAGAGTCCCGGGGGCTGATTGCATTCAGTGGGAAGTAGGGATGGGAATGGGTAACCGGTTAACTGTTACCCGGTAAGCATCACTCTTACCAGGTAATGCTTACTGGGTAATGGTTAACCAGTTACCCCGGAGCAGCCCCTTCCCATGGCACCGCCAGCCCCAGCACTGGGAACTGTGGAGCAGGCTGGCGGGAGCAGCCCCAGCGTGGGCTGGAGGGGGGTGAGAGCCTACCTAGTCAGTTAACCGGTTAATTGATTCATCAGGATTTTACATCCCTAGTGGGAAGTAGCATTCCTATTGTTCTACACGTACCAGGCATTTACTTCACGTGTCTTCTTGCTCACTGCATAGGTGGCCAATCAGATTTCGTGTTTTTCCCCCTTGTTAACCGCACTCTTTCACCCGTAAGACTTGTGCAGCTGGATATTGCTCCCAGCGTGATCCCAGCACTTGGAGCTCAAATAGCACAGGGGGTAGGAACCTTCTGCTGTGTTCTGGCAGGATGCTTTGAACTCGACGGTACTTCAAGCCAGTCTCTGATGCTTGGGACCAGGACAGGGAATTGAACCCTGGTCTCCTGGACAGCAGCACACACAGCACCAGGCTTCTAGCTTGGCTGTTGTTCAACAGATTTCTCATTTGCTGCTCGAGGCAGTTGGAACACCCTTTGTAAGGTTCCAGGAGGGACTGGATGTTTAGTCCGATACCGAGACTAGCCAGAGTTGTAATGGTTAATGCAGCAAAGGGTTATGGAACTTAAACTATAGCTATTAGGAATTAGAGCGAGACCTTCCTGGGAGCAGATTTCCCACATCTCTCTGCTGTGGGGTTTCTTGCACGTTATTCTGACACCTCCTATTGGAGCCTGCAGACTGGACTAGATAGTAGGGATGTAACCGTGTAACTGCTCAATGAATAATCGTTGACTAGATAGTAGGGATGTAACCGTGTACCTGCTCAATGAATAACCGTTTAAACAGTTAACCAATTAGCTTGGGCTTATCTGTTTCCATTCACAGTTACATTCGGGCTCCTACCCTGCTCCTGGGGAGCTGGCTGCCACCCCACACTGCTGACTCTGTATCAGAGGTGATGCTGCTGTATCAGAGGCAGCAGTGCGGGGTGGCAGCTGGCTGCCCGGGAACTGACTGCCACCCTGCACTGCAGGTACGTGTAACCGCTGACATTTTCAGTGTTTACGTAGTTACCCAATTACCCACTTTTTAACATCCCTGCTAGAAAGCCTGTGGGTTGATCCAGTCTGGCAGTTCCTACATCCCATTCTTTCTTCAGTGTCGTTCCCACCTGCTTGTTTTGTTTCTATCAGATTGAAAAGCCAGCCAGTGCCCAGCTAACTGCATCTCCTTCATTGTATTTCCAACCCTGTCCCTTTCCAGATTCCTGCTACCAGGCTTGTGCCATTTGACAGCAGAGGACGGCCCTCGGGAAATCCTTATTTCAGTGGGGGCCCCAGCACTGCTGTGTCAGTATTTCCTGCACCAGTGGGAATTGTTGGCCTCGGACCCCCACGCTGCTGCTCTTCCGGACAGCACCGAAATCAGTCTGCAAACCTCCTGTGGAATTTTCCTTAACCTCGTGGTGACCGCCCCAGAGTTGGTCAGGTAACAAACCCGGAGCCGCAGGAATGTGCTTGTTTTAAGAGCGTCAGTAAGAAAGCGCTATGAGAGATAAGTTTGGCAGGTCCCAGCATGTATCACTACTTAGCTGCCCATTGGCAGGATCAGCAGAGGCCACCACTGCCTGTGTCATAGCACTGAACTTCCCCTCGGCCTAGACACCCTCTGGGCAGGCTGGAGGCATGTTGGCCAAGTGAGGATTTCTTGTATGCTGCTCAGGAGCTACACTGCTCAGTGCTTTGAGTTGAATCCAGCCCTTCTGGATGTGCAGAGCTGTTCCAAAAGGGCGTCTCATTACCTCGGTTTCTGCTCCCCACATGTCTGAATCAAGTCAGCTGCCTCTGCTGAGACAAACAGGCGTGGCCTCGTGTTAGCCCTGCAGACCAGCCTGCGGGAACAAGCCAGAGCCCATTCTCCCTTACATGGCACTGACAGAGTGATCAGAGCGCTGGAGGCTGAAAGAGCTCCGAAGCAGTGTAGTGCCACGTTGGAGAAAAATTTCCTTTTGATCTGTAACAGGAGTGTGATTTATTTGGGGCATGACTGAGAAAAGCATTAGAGATTTTACCACCCTCCGGAGTCTTTTATGACACTAACTTTACTGTAAAACAAGCATCCGGTTTCTCTAGGACTCCAGGGTTGAGGGTTGGGATTTTCACACTGTCACAGTGTCGCTTCCCTGCCTTGCATGAAGCCTCGCACCTGTGGGTGCTTCTCACTCGACTCAGTGCATGTCTCTCTGGGTTGGTTGTGTCTCTAGGCGAGACAAGTGCTTTTCCTCCCTGATGGACGTGCTGCTGAAATCTCTCCCTGCTCTGCTGCTCCAGAAGGATCGTCTTGTGCTAGCAGCCAACGTTGCCACTCTGGGCTTGATGATGGCCAGGATCCTTGGCAGTTCTCCCGGTAAGAAGTGATCCTGCTGACAAAGCAAAGCACTATGGTCGTCACTGGGAGGGGACTGAGATCGGGGGAGATTGCACAACCGGGGTGACCAGCCCCATTTGGGGTCCCTGGAAAGGCATGTTCAGCGAACAAACCCAAACCTAGTGGAGCAAAGAACATGCGCTGTGCTTGGAACAAACCCAAACCTAGTGGAGCAAAGAACGTGCGCTGTGCTTGTGGGGGGTGCTGGAAAGAGACGTGGGTGAAGGAACTCCCGTATCACAGAGTATCGCCTAAATCTGCTGAGGAAAGCCTTGTGCAAGCTGACTCATGGCCATCCCAGAGAATTAATTCATTTCCCTTTTGTTTCAGCTCTCCAGGGGACACCCCCAGCCCAGGACTTCTTCGAAGCTGCCATCTGCTTCCTTTCTCAGGCCCACGTTGCCCGGGTAGATCTTGCCAGCCAGGGCTCAGCAGTGGCCGTATCCCCAGCCTACGAGGAGGCCTGGGCTGACCTCCGTGAGCTGTGGTTCCTAGGGATGCAGGCCTTCGCCAGCTGTGTGCCACTCTTCCCCTGGCTGCCCCCAGCAGTCCTCCGGTCGCGTTGGCTAGATGACCTCTTGCGGCTCTTGGGCCAGGCTGCCCCAAGCTCAGTGGACTTGGAGCTCGTTACGGCGCTGCAGGGCGTCCTGCTGGAGCTGGCCAGAGCCAGCCAGCAATGCAGAGATGCAATCGCCTTGCAGCAGGGCAGGGAACTGGCCAATCTTTATGGCATGGCAGCTTTAGAACAGTGCCTTTGTGAGCAGTGAATGGGACTCCCCTGCCACAGGCGGGGGAACACAGCCCGGCTTTGAGAGAGGCTTTCCTAGCCCCTCACACACCATTCAGCCCTTTACTGCCAGGACTAGGAGAAGTGTTCAAATAGCCCAACACCTTGTAAAATGAGAGAGATGCAGTCAGAGCTCAGCAGGGCCCGGAGGAGCAGGGTTTGCTCTGCCCGGCACTTGCCGCTCAGAGTAATTGCGGCCTGGATGCGTTTTGGTTCTTTGCAGTCACAGACTTGGGCACAGGGGCCCTTTTGGGTGAGGGAGAAATTTGGTCCCCCCCAGGAGCAAGGGCTGGCGTGAGGGCACCCCTTGAAATGCCTTCTGTCCAGGACGAATGAGTCTCTGCTGTTGCTGTGAAACTGGCCCACTGAAGAGGCTGTGCAGTTTCCCAATAAGCCCTGTGCAGGGGCTCAGGGCTGCAGCGGAGAGAAAGATCTCTTCCCCAGCCCCTGAAGCTGGTGGGGGCAGGACTTGCATCCCTCCCTTCCATCCTCAGCACACACAGTTGCCACAGCCTGGGAAAAGGGACACCTCATTGCTATCCCCAGCAGGGAGCCGCCCAGGTAAGCCTGATCCCCAGCCCCCCAGGCCTGAGCTAAACTGCATCCCAAAGTTCACACCCACAGCCTGTAACCCCTCCTGCACCCCAAGCCTCTCCTCAAACCGAGCCCCCTCAGCCCCACCCCAGAGCCTGCACCCCAACCCTCTATTCTAGTCATGAGCCCCCCCAGCCTCACCCAGGAGCTCACATCCCCAGCTGGAGCCCTCACACTCCTGCCCCCCACTCCTCTGCCCCAACCCTGAGTCCCCTCCTCAGAACCACTTGGCCCCACCCTGCCACATGAACTTTGTTGTATGCTCCAATCTGAAGGTGATGTGTCGCACGTCCCCTCCACAGCGGTGCAAACAATATTCATTCTGCTCAGGGATGGGAAAAGCTAGAGGGAGCGCTGCCGCTGACCAGCTCTCCCTGGATTCCATGTTGGGCAGGTGGTTTCCCAGGAGGCTTGTGTGTAAGGGTAACAAAAGCAGAGGCACTTGCTTCTCTGAAGCCTGAGCAGGGCACTGAGTCACTTGCCTTGCAGCGTTCTGCTGGCACCGAGTGCTCACCTACAGCCTCCCAGTCTTGGGCGGTCCCTCGACTTTACGGCTCCTCTGGCAAGGAGCTCCCCCTGCTGGTCAAATCTGTGCTCTCAACAAATCTCCATTCTGAACTGCAGCCCTCCCCTGCATTGACAGTGGAACTCCCCTACCCCCACACCTTATCCATAGCTTGGGGCCCGCACCAGTTTTAAGACTGGGACTCAGACCTGATCTGCAGCACTCTGCTATTCCAGTCCTGAGCTCTCAGCTGAACAACAAGGATGACTGTCGGATTCTGACAATTCCTCGATGCAACGTGAACAAAATTCCACTAGGGCCCGGAGCCGAGACTATCCAGAGTCAGTTCCCTTGTGACCTGAGTGGGCCTTGCACTCGGGTCCAATGCGCTGGAGGTGAAATGACTGCACGCTCTCAGATCAAGCAGCGTGATTGTACACAGTGCAGCTGAGCTTTTACTTGAAAAGGGTCAGGGCTGCAGTTAATTTCTGTCTGTCGTTTTTGGCAGGTCCCTTTCATTGTTCTGAGAATGGAAGGTTATCTCCCCCATTAAATCAGGCACAGCACGGGAGAGCACCCCCATGCCACGGATAGAAGGGACCCTCGGATTTAAACTTCCCAGGATGTTGATTTTCTATTTTCTTATCTTGACCAAAGGATTTTTATTTGCCTCTCTCTGGGCTCTTGGATGCAGCCTATAAACCCTGTGTTCCCACGTGGGGGATGGCTTTTCCTTTTCCGAAAGAGCCAAGGAAAAGCTTGATCATCTCTGATTCTTTTGGCATTTCAAATTTTGTAAAAAGCATTTTAATAAAAGCCCACTTGCTACTGAAGAATTGGTTTGTTGCTTCAGTTTGAAAATCCCTTTGCTAATGAGATTTAATTCTCTTTAAAGTGTGGGACTGTGTCTACACTGGACCCCTTTTCCGGAAAAGGGATGCAGATGAGACAAGTCGGAATTGCAAACGAAGCGGGGATTTAAATATCCCCCGCTTCATTTGCATGAACATGGCTGCTGCTTTTTTCCGGCTCGGGGCTTTGCCGGAGAAAAGCGCCAGTCTAGACGGGTTCTTTCGGAAAATAAAGCCTTTTCCGGAAGATCCCTTATTCATCTTAAAATCAGGAATAAGGGATCTTCTGGAAAAGGTTTTATTTTCGGAAAGATCCCGTCTAGACTGGCACTTTTTGCCGGCAAAGCCCCGAGCCGGAAAAAAGCGGCAGCCATGTTTATGCAAATGAAGCGGGGGATATTTAAATCCCCCGCTTCATTTGCAATTCCGACTTGTCTCATCTGCATCCCTTTTCCGGAAAAGGGGTCCAGTGTATAGATAGCCTGAGAGTCTCATCCTTTCTCCTTTGTACTCACTTCCCTGAATTACCTATTGTCATGCTTGAAATTATAGCAACAGACCAGAGAAAAGACTGGAGAGCTCCAAGGATGAGTAATGGGGTCCCCCAGCCTATCGCCTAGCCTTTCCCTAATGTTTCCAAGGCTCCGAGGACTAGTATGGTATCACCAAACTGACTAGCCAAGTATAGGCCCAATCATGCAAGAGCCGCCACTGATGTTCACTTTAATGTGCGGAACAAATGTTATGTGCACCGAGAGGTGAAAATGTGCACTGCCATGCTGTCAACTTCGGGCAGCTGTGGGTGCTCTGCACATCAGCTGAGCAGCACCTGAATCTCTCTGGGGGGGCCATGCATGCACTCACCCATACAGGGAACACTCGCCGCCATGCAGATGGACTCCTATGCCACACAAAGCATCGTATCAGAGTGGGGCCTGTAAAAGGAGCCTGTTTTTACCCATGAGGGTAATTAGTCATTGGAACAACTCATCTCCAGCACGTGGTGGCTTCTCCATCACTTGCCTTTGCTGAAATGGTGATTTGACAGCTTTCTAAAAGATGCGCTCTAAGCTCAACCAAAAGTCAGGGTCTGGATGTAGGAATCACCAGGTGAAATTCTCTGGCCTGTGTTCTGCAGGCGGTCAGACTAGACGGTTGGAAGGGTCCCTTGTGGCCTTAAGATCCATGAATCCATTTATCTCCAGCAACCCTTGATGTCCATCTTCGGTGACATAAGCAGCTGCTTCTTTTTAGCCACTAGGGGGTAGAGCACAGCTTCAAGGCACAGCTTCAAGGCTGCTACCAACAGCATAAGTAGCCCAGTGCACAGGTGGGGTATTTACTAACACGAAGCTTCCTGGGTCTTTTTTCTTCTGTCTCATGCAGCATATTGGTCCCCTATGAATGAAATGCCTGGTAGTACTGGATCCAGCAACACTGTTCAAACCTAGTCCAGAGGGTGGGCAGAAGTGGTGTTCTCATTAGTTCAAATGATTTGGTTCCTGACATGTTGGTAAGAGAGGGTCAGATTTACTCCAGGTTGAATTAAGTGGGTTGAAGACATTGGCACGTGGGTGTTTTTTGTCACCCACATGATGGTATTTGTGGGACAAATGCCTGTATTTCTTCAGCCAGGTGATAAATTCTGTTTGATTTGCTGTCTCATCCGCCCTCTGATCCATCGTTGCTAGAGCTGCTTCTAACGTCCCTGCTCTTATTTCTGATAGCTGTGCTGATACCACAGAAAAGTTTCTGTTAGAAAAGAAACAGGCAATCCAGGAGTGGATGGGGTAAATGGAACTGCTTTATTGCCCTTGCCCGTATACCTTAGTCATTCAACACAATGTCCAAGTGGCACCAATTACATCCTTTTATCTATTTTAGTATGTTCATTCACATGTCTAGCACTACTTTTCCTAAAACCTTATTTAGTGATGTTAGCTCCCATAAAATGAATATTAATAAGCAGGTGGTGAATATTATTATACCTGCCCCTAATTACTATTTACAGAATTTCTAACTAAATCAACACTTTTCTCTGCTACAGACTTTCAAAATCAGCAGGTTACAGAGATTACAAGAAAAGTAACCCTGAAATATTCATACAGAGCCAGTGAGGGTAGGTAAAAGAAGAGCAGCTGCATGCTTATCTGTTTTTCTAGGCTGCAAAAATGAAGGAAAAGAGCATATTCAAGGGTAATACCTACCGTGGCTGAACTCCTTAAAACTATCCCAGACCCCTATTCATTTTATATAGCCCAACAGCCAAGTATTGAAATTTCCTTCTCACAAGCCCCCTACTATTAAATGCAGGACCAGTGTCATCCTGTAGTCTCTCCGTATAAAACCTCCGTGCTACGCACAGGCAGGAAGGTGTATGATATTTGTTTGGCTCCACCTCAATATCTATGATGATGGGATCTTTTCTTTACATGCAAAGAGAGGGGCTCTTGGGCTAGCAAGTCCTTTATCTTTCTGTAGCTCCCCCTGGGTAGGGTTTCAAAGAACTTTATAGATATCAGTGACTTTAACCTCAAAGCTTCCTTGTGAGGTGAGGAGTGTATTGTACCCATTTTACAGAAGGGGAAACAGGCACACGGAGGCTAGGTAACCTGCGTTATACAATGCAGCTACAGAAGAGCTAAGAGGACAGCAAAGCTTTCCTAGGGTTCAATTCAGGGCTGTTACTGTTAGACTGTTCCATGCTTTCTCTTAACCTAATATTATAATATCAGCCTGCAGGTTGTTGTTTTTTAAAAAAAAACAAACAAACAAACCCCTACAGCTTGGATGGACCAGTTAATTCCAATTTTATCCAAAGAAGCGTCACTAGCAAAGATGAGCCGTTCCGGAGCCAGCCAGCTATGCTGAGGCATGACCACCAGAGGTCACCCTAAGAGCTTGGAACAAAAAAAGTTCTGTGACTAGTGTTTGCCACTTCTCAAAGAGAACCGAACAAACGGTTCAGGGCGGATGCCCTGAAAACCACTGGGGAGGGAGCACTGTCAGCTTCCTGGGACAGGGAGGAGGTCATGATAAGAGCTTCCTTGAATGAAA